TGAGTGCTTGTGTGTGTGCATGTGTGTGTGCGTGTGTGTGATTATGTGTTTGTGTGCAGCAAATGCAGCAGCCGCATCAACAGATGTGTGTGTGTGTTGTTTTAAAAGACCCCAGATTCTCTCTCTCATTCCCTTCACACATCATCACAAGCCATCCATAACGAAAAGGCATAGATAGGCAATATAATAGAAAATGCAAGGTTGGCCACATTTGTGTGGTTCAGCGCCTAGTGCCCACACACCCGTCTGCTGCCAAAGAGGCACACTTGCACATAAACAATAGCGGTGCTTTCATGTGGGACCAGTCATCCGCTTTTTTTTTTGTTCGGCCTATGAGAGCATGAATGGTTTAGGAATGGGAATACCAATGTCTTGACGACGAACAAGGCCATCTGCTGTATGTAGATATGTATTTGGGATTTCGTTCTTTGCAGGCAAGAGTGTTTTGATATCCTGGTTGGTCTTGTCCCATTGTTTGGCCTATGAAGTTGGGGGCGGGCCTTACATGTGGGCTTGTCATCCAGGATCTCGTTGCCCCCTGTTTTGTTATATTTGGCTGTCCCCTTCCTCTTTTCTTTGTCTCTTGCCTTTTGACTGTGTGCAAGTGGGTCGATATGACACACGGGGGTGGGGGCAGCCGCCACTCAACCTCCATCCACGTGGCCGGCCTTGTATGCAAGAGGTTCTGAACAGGGGGAGTTGTAAGAAGATACAAAATGAATTGATATCTTTTTTGTTTCCTTTTGTTTTTGCTTTTGCACTCTGGTAACTTTGTGACAATATAATATAATTGAATTAATTTGAATATATATTTCAAATCTTAAGGGGACGGAGGGCAGAAGGCAACTTACCTAAGACAGAAGACTACTCCAGCAAGAAGGCACCGACCCGACCCCCTCAAAGGTCTGAAAAAACTTGGAGAGCCTTCCACATCGGCCCACAAAACCAAAAACTCATTTATAAAAAACAAACAGATAAAACAGCATTGGCATTCCTGACATTCATCTCAAACTACACACTCGCATCACTGCCAAAGAGGAGGAAGAAGATAAGAGACAACTTACCTAAGACAATCGGGTTAACCATATTTATTACCATCATAGGTCTTTGGGACTTTATTTCATTTTGGGTGGATAATCGATTGTATTTTATTTACTTATTGAGTTTTCTATTTATTCATCTCGAAAGAGACGTAAGAACCAACTAATACATTCCCCCCAAAGAGAACTTGTGGCCACCCGTAAGCATCCAAACAGCCCATGCTCTAAAGCAGGGCAAAGAATTAGGCCGTGTATAATCAACAAAACAGACAAGACATATCCAACCACAAAAAGAGAGAATAGCTCGCTAGTACGAGCCCGATCCTAGCCGCTCAAATCTGCCAAGACAGAGAGCTAGCAAGACCGGAATGTGTGTTGTTTTAAAGGACAACAGATTCTCCCTCTCATTGCCTTAACAAATCATCACAAGCCATCCATAACGAAAAAGCATAGATAACGAATATGTGTGTGTGTGTGTGTGTGTGTGTGTGTGTGTGTGTGTGTGTGTGTGTGTTCAGGAGTGATGGGCAATGCCCCCCCGAGCCCCCCGAGCCCTATATATATAATAATAATAAAATCATAAAAAATAATAAAAATGTTTGGGCTCGGTTGATTTTGGGCCACGTTTGGGCTAGGTAGCGAGCATTCGGGTGCGGTCTCCAAGCCCGAACGCGATGCTACGCAGCTCTGTATCGTTCCAATTTTAACAGATTTCCTGAAGGACAGCAACTGTATACATTGTCACATATCTATGAACTCCCTTCTGTATCCCAATTTTAACGGATTTCCTGAAGCGTAGTTTGCGAAACAAATGGTGAAAGTAAAAAAACAAGACCAACATGAGGGGCACACCGAAACCATTCATTTTTCTAATTCTTCTTTTTTGAACTCCCCCTTCACCGTGCCTCTCACGTACAAGGCTCGCCACATTGATGAAGTTGAGCGCGAGCTGCCTGCATCCCCATGTGCCATAACAGCCCACTTGTACGCTGTGAGAAGAGGCAGAGTAAAAGGGGAAAGGATAAACACAGGGAAGAGAGATGGAGAGAAGACAAACAAAGAGCGACAAAGGTACAGAGTGTGGAATGAAGATGAAGGCAAAGGAGAGGATAAGAAAAGGATCAAGAACGAGTGTTTCTTTGACGACAGAGAGGACATACCTTGTAAGGATGAGGTGGATGAACACTGGAAGACCTAGCTGAGCATTCTCAGTACAACACTTCCCAAGATGGCTGGCATTGAGCATGCCCACCATACACTCACGACAAATGGCATGTCCGTTACAGGCCAAAATAAAGGAAGAACGTTCACCACAAAAGACCATGCATTCAGTATAGCGCCCATGACCACGAAATGGACATGTAGTGTCTGGATGCCGAGGGTGGCCGCAGTCAGGAACAGAGGGACAGTCCTCTACACGCATGGATGCAGAAACCATGTCATTTTAGTGATCGTGACAGAGATGATGGCGGCTACAGCCGAGTGTAACAGTGTTTGTAGTTGTGCAAAGGAGAACGTCGCAGACCGTCGGTACATTGTCCTGCTGCATCATGGGGCCAGAGGAATGATCGTCGACATAAAGAGATTGCGGACGGTTTGGTGTGGCAAGAAAACGGCATCATTATGTAAGAAATCAGTAAAACATCAGTCACGGCGCAGACCATGACGCCGTTGTCCCACAGCTCCCAGTGGTCAGAGGCATGTACAATGGCCATGTAAATGGCCAGGTACGTGCACAACGCAGCCAGAGATTTGGGATGGAGGAATAAACCACTCACCTGCTCAAGCATTGAGTAGTCCAAGTTGGCAGTCCCTCATTGCTACTTGTAGGACAGCAATGGTAAAACCTCTTTCCCTGGTATAATTACAATGCTCTGGCTGTAGGCTGAGAAGATCAGCATCAAGCTGAAGGGCAATTGCAAGGAAGTCTGACAATGCATAAAACGGGCAGTGAAGAATGTGAAGACAGATATTAGTTGCAGTCAGACCACAGAGATTGGTAAGGACCTCAGGCTGGTGTGCCGAATGCTGGCCAACAATTTGCGGATCACCCAGATGGCATTGCAAGCCCAAAATATCTTCGGCTGTTTGCTGGCCAACCGTATATATCGGCAAACAGAGCTGCGCGGCAAACCGTAGGCAGAGAGGGAGAAGAGGACAACAAACGAGGGGTGGTGACAAACTGTTTCGTCGGAGTTTCACCGACTCATCAGGAGGCTGAACTCTCAACAGTCTGCAGAATCCCCTAATTGATTACACTGCAAGCGATAATCCACCTTAACCCCAGCTGTGGCTAAGCATCAACGACTCCCCGGCAACTGATACCCCTCTGAGGAGGTGGGGACCACCAACCACTGCTGCCCTCAAGGTGCATGTGATGAACATCAAAGCAGACTAGCACTCACCCACACCAGAAGGAGAACTCCACAGACTGTCGGTTCGCACCCCCCATCACAAGCCAGCAAAACACTCACGAAACAACAAAAGGTCTGTCGCAGCCAAAAAATACACTCCAGATATGGCACTGGAGGCACAGCATGGCCGCGCAGTGACGGCCCCGACCACTGCCGCTCGACCTGACCGGAGAAAACCGTAGCAGGGTGCTAGCAAAGTCGCGGTATATATCGTAAAACAGAGCTGCCCCGTAAACCGTAGGCAGAGAGGGAGAAGAGGACAAAAAACGAGGGGCTGCAACAAACTGTTTCGTCGGCGTTTCACCGACTCATCAGGAGGCTGAACCCTCAACAGTCTGCAGAACCCCCTAACTGATTACACTGTAATCGATAAATCCACCTTAAGCCCGGCTGTGGTTAAGCATCAACGACTGCCCGACAACTGATACCCCTCTGAGGAGGTGGGCACCAACCACCCACCGCCCTCAAGGTCAAGGTACCTGTGACGAAAATCAAAGCAGACCACCACTCACCCACACCAGATGGAAAACTCGACAGACAAATCGCAGACACTTTTTTCTTTTCTTTTCCTTTTGTGGAAGTAACTTACGTCCACAAAAGCACCATTTCGGTTTTTACGATTGACTTCTCAAACGGTTTGTTTCTCAATATCAATCAATTCCAAAACATGTAGACTAGACTAGAACCCCACGTATTTTCGTTCTCTGCACAGTGCATACCATCTCTCATGCGACGGCCTTACCAAACAGTTGCTTTAAAAAACTTACTCAAAAACAAAAAAAAATAAATTCGAAGGCTCGAAAAAAAACAAACAAGGCCAGTGAATTTTCACAAAAATTACAAGCTATTGTAGCCCCTTGTCTGCATAGACCACTTAGCATATCTAAAAATCTTACTCCCCAAATCCAGGAGGGCCAGGCATTTGTTTTTTATGCCTGCTGCTTGTGGACCAATTGCCCAAAGTCTGCCACAAAAAACAGCGTAAAAGGCAATCCTCTTACCAACAAGATAAACATACAAAAAGGAAAAGTAAAAGACAAAAGAAAACATACAGAAAGAAAAAGAAAAGACAAAAAAAAAGCAATGAAAGACTTGATATGCGGCCTAGTCCCTGGAGGACTGCCCGAAACGCACCTCCCCCCCGCCTCCCCCTCCCCTCCCCCCCAACCCTATTGTGCCATGCCCCCCTGGGGACTTCCCTGCTGCGTGCCTGGGTGCTGCTAGTAAGCCTCCCGGCCAGTAGAACAGCCCCCAAAGAGGGGGTAAGGTTGGGGGTGGGGCACTCCGTAGCAGCCTTGCTTGTTCAGGCATCTAGTGCCACAAGGGTTAGGTTGACCCTCTCTTCTCTCACCTTTTCTCCCCACTGCCTTTGTACAAAACATGCTCGCAGGTGATAAGAAACCGGACTGATGCCCCCCCGAATAGAAGGGGCTTTCAGGTATATTAAAAAAAAAAAAAAAAAAAAGGATAGACGTCATAGCACGGTCATACCCAAACATTACAGAATCCACCATACATTGCCAGCCACGTACATGAGTAATTATAAACTTGGAAGTTGGAACTTAACAATACGCGACAATTTCAGATAGCGCAATCCAGTGGTCTGTTGGCTGGCTGCTGGATGATCCAGCTATTAATTAGCTCATTGCATTTTGGTTAACACCACCACCATCCTGAGACTGGCGTTTTCCTTTAGTTGGGGAGCACGGTGTTTTTTTTTCCTTACCTTGTGGCTTACCTTATAGCCAGAGCCACAGTTGAATCAACATTCTGAATGAGAAAATCAGCATAGTATTTTTTTTTCACTATTTAGTATTTTTACATTTACCAGGCCCATCTACAAGAAAACAATTCCGGTGATTGTGGGGAAAAAAAAAAAAAAAACTGCACTCTTTCTCAACAATGTGGATCTCTTCAGTGCTGTGCACAGCTGTGTTTGCAGCGCACATTTTTTCCCTTCACGGTTGGACTCTTAAGAGTCTTTAACCCTTAACCCTTAACCCTTAGCCCTTAACCCTTAACTCTCAAGAGTCTCAAGTTCTCTTAACCCTTTAAGCTTAAAGCCTTAAACCCAGGCTTGACCAATAGGGTTATCCTTTTCCTTCTGTTGGCACACCATATTCACTATTCAGGCCTTGGCCCTAAACAACTTCCGTGGGCTTGAACCTAGGCTTGACTCAAGAGCTTAAGAGCAGGACACTGTTGGCGCACCGTATACAATTTTTTTTATTTTTGTTCTTTTTTTTCCCAGCTTTGGAGCAATACAATTGCGAAGGTTGAGAAGACATGTTCTAGCCCATCCACCTAACTCCTCTGCTTATTCAGCCCTTGGCCGTAAACCTAGGCTTGACCAATATGTTTATGGTTAAGACTCAAAAGCGTGTCCCGTCCTCTGTTGGTAAATCATATCAGCTTTAGGATAGAGCAAAACAACTCAGAAGGCTAAGAAGAAATGTTCAAGCCCAGCCACTGAACTCCTCTGCTTATTTTTCGGCTAGTCCTCACTCATAAATGAATGAAGGCGAAGGGCAAGCATCTTCCACACGACGGGGCAGGAACCGAGGCAAAGTAAGCCCCATGCCAGAAAGAACAGCCTGCTGTTGCGATCCGTTCGAGTGCACTTTCGATGACGAATTCCAGACCTAAAAGCAGAGACGGAACCCTATTGTGTTTTCCGTGCCCTGCTTCGCATGGCCAGAAGATCGCCACCAAATTAATTCAGCGCTTGGAAATTCGAATGATGAATCTGGTAACGAAAAGGAAGTCCTAGGGCATACTCACACTAGACCTTTTGTAAATGTATTTGACTGTAATTATGGCCAGACCTGGATGAATCTGACCACAATCACGTCCACAGCTTAGTAGAAAAAAAAGTCATATAGTTTAAGTATGTCCTTGTGGCAAAACAAAACAGTCCACGCTTTTCAACGGCTTCATCAAACCTGATTTACAGCGCTTCATGTGATAATGACTAAAATAATTAATGTGCGTTGAATGACGAATCCCGTTCCTAAAAACAAGTCCAGAGAACAAAACAAAACACTCCACGGTTTCTTGAATGGCTTCGTCAAACCTGATTTACAATCAAGAAACTCCGAAGAAGCTATGAATTGTTGTGCGTTGCAGAGGATCTCCAAACACGTTGTCCTGATCATTGTCGCCAAATAAGTGAAGGTCATCATCTTGGCCATCCTCATCCAGCTGAGAGATTTTCTCCATGATCGATCGAACAAGTGATATAAGTGTCATTCCTCTTCCCAGTGGCGGGAAAACCACCTGAAAAACAGTCAGCAAAGGCAAGTACAAAGCCATTCAGAATTGCTCAAAAGTTTCAAAACTCAAAGGGAAAAGAAAAGAACTCCTCAAAACTTTTCAAATTATAATTATTATATATCGTCAAATAGAACTGCCCGGTAAACCGTAGGCAGAGAGGGAGAAGAGGACAACAAACGAGGGGCTGTGATTATATATGTAAGAAAGAAGTGCCTAGCACCTTGAAGAACATTGAGACAGACGCCAGACACATCTGAAATGATCGAAATTCTCACCAAGCTCAACCTCGCAACCATGCCATGAATACTCACATGAGAGTTCACACGTGAGAAACACACACGGAAGCTGTCACCAAATTATTATCATTATACAAGAAATGTTTATGTCGCCAGCGGCACTGCCGCACACACACACAATCAGAACTGATCTCAACCCGGTTGGCGGCTATGGCTCCCCTCTCCTTCTCTGCTCTCTCTATGCTTGATTGCTACGTCTCTCTCTCTCTCTCTCTCTCTCTCTCTCTCTCTCTCTCTCTCTCTCTCTCNCCTTCCCCGGTAGGCATATAACACTGACGACCTCAGCCTTCTAGCTTCCAATCAAGCTCATCTGATCGCACATCAGGCTGAAGCCGAAGCAACCGGATATGTCAGCAACAATACCGAAGCAGCCGGATATGGCAGCAACAATACCGAAGCAACCGGATATGGCTGAAGACGACATAACCTATATGCCAAGTGACCCCTCCAATCAAGTTCATCTGAAAATGATCATGTTAACTCTGAGCCTCTGGTTTCTCATGGCAACGAAATAAGAGCCTTATAGACCAAATAGGTACAGTCTAGAAATTTGCGCCTCGCCTACTCCAGTGAGATTGTACAAACGAAGGAACTACAGTAGCCTATTTTTTGGCCCAGAACGTGGAAAGATTCCCCCGCATAATTTCTCCTCCCCACATTTGATGGGTGGCGGGAAGAAGAGGCCCATCGTTGTGGAAAAATCCGAATCGACACGTACGCGAATAAACGCACCTGCGATTGGCTGACTGACATCGCAGACAATTTTTTCGATCGTCGAAGTGAGGGGCCTTATCGTGTGAGACATCACGAACCCAACCATTGCCACAAGGCCATCGCCGTCGAGACCCCGTCGCCACGTGCGTCTTTGATACGCAGGGCATTTTACTCGGAACCCCTTGTCAGACTACTCGTCCCCACCCCATGCGTCTTAAATAAGGGCCATTTTAAACAAGGGTCATTTTACTTGATCGCGATAGTCAACCGCTGGTCAGACTACAACGCGCCACCCAATCGCAGATGGCACGCCACTGTCAGCGACGTAACCCTATCAGAGGCATGGTCCTGGCTGGCAAAGCCTAGATGCATGCTCGACATGTACGGACATTAGCAGAGCCGGTCGGTCGGGCCGTACACCACCCATGGGTCCGTCCTCCTTCGTCGCGGTCCTTGCACTTTATCACGCACACATCCATCGTCGGTAAACAACAACAGTAAGAAACACACCACATGATCCCTGACACAGCGGCGGGAACGGTCCTCTGCAGGGTTCGTACGGTGTACTTGCCAACAACCTCCGGTGCGACCTTGGCAACATCCGATCCCGGCGTCACCATGTTGGGCTTCAGCAGCGTTCCCTCCAGCAACACGTGGTGATCGCTCAGAGACTTGTACACGGCAGTGCCTAGTAAAATCGCGAACGAATAAGACAAAAAAATGATGCATACAGAATCTAAAAGAAATAACTTAAATAATATCTAGAATAAATCTAAGAAGAAAATCTAATGAAAATATAAAATACCTCATTGCAGGAACGGTCGCCCGTTGTTTCAGGCGCTGATACTCGCTCCCATACACTCCCCGTAACACCTTCCCTCACTGCCCGCCTCTCTCGAGCTCCCGTACATCCCAGTCACCCGCACAACCTTGCCCCATTCCCCACCTCTCAAACTCCCCATACCGAGATCCCACAATCGGCGACTAGAAGAGTTAGACGATTCTGAATAAAACAGTCAATCCTCTATTCCTCTCTCTCTCTCTCTCTCTCTCTCTCTCTCTCTCTCTCTCTGTGTATCTGCCCGTCTGTCCGATTGTGTGTGACACACGCATAGAGCTCCTCTCTCAAAACTTCTCCTTGTCAAACATAACACCCAACCATTGGGCGCCTGTCTGGACCACACCGCCTCTCCCCAATGCCCGTTCATTGTCTTCGTTTCCCGCGCCTGTCGGAAAACTACATGGACAGCTAATCAACGGCTGCACAACATGGAGAGCTAATCAACGGGTCCAGCTCCCCGTCCCTTTCCCTCCCCCTCCTGCCTCTGTCCCGCTCGAGGTTTGTCATTTCATCTATTCCTCCGTTTCTCCAATACTGCCCCCAATGGCGTCCCTTTCCCTCCCACTCCTGCCTCCGTCTCTCTCTCTCTCTCTCTCTCTCTCTCTCTCTCTCTCTCTCTCTCTCTCTCTCTCTCTCTCTCTCTCTCTCTCTCACACTCATAACACTAGATCATCACCCTGGACACACCCACTCAGGTAAGCTTACACCTGGCGGTTATGGCCGCCTTACCTCCTACCTCCTTCTACCGTAGCTATGGAGTAACTGTCACATGCCCTCTTCCTCCTCCAGGCGCGAAGTGCCCAAGTCGCGTTGACGCACAAGCAGCGGCAGCGCTTCCGCATCTTGCAACTGAACAAGTGATGAGCCGCTGCACTGTAGCAGCTAAATATAGGACTTGACTTGGCTTGGCCTGCTTCAGACCGTTACCTGTCGGCCGCAGCCTGTCTGCTGCAAACATTTTGTCGGTCCGGTAGCTTCCGGACTTTCCTGGGACATGCTGCAAATTTCTGGGCTTGGGACTGTTGGACTGGACTGAACTTTTCTTGTCGGGTACCGGAGGGACTCCTACTGGCCTACGATGTTGTGGTACCGACACCTAACGATCTACGATGTTTCGGCCTCTGGACACTACGACCTACCCTACTGGGACAGCCTGGGACTGCGACATTTCGGAACCCTGGGACCAGGACTGGCGTGTCTGCAGCGTGTCCTTTCACTCCCTCCAGCCTAATTTCGAAGTCCTACGAGAAAAATCCCTTCTTTATCGATCGTAGACATTCATTCCCCTCCGGGCCCTTTCATAAAAGGAGACAATGCGAGGGGCTGTCAGAGCAAGTTCCTCCCTGGGGAACCATCAGTCTTCGCTGGGTTCCTGGTAAGCAAGTCTAACCTTGTACTGCCTCTGTGGTCTCCCCCTGCGGCCTGTACGGAAGACATCTTTGCCCACTATTCTATCCACATCATAACCTCCGTCCATGTCTGGTGGAATCATGGGGCGACAAGAGGGAAACCGATCGTTCACGACGCAGGGAAGTAACTTATATGCGTGGTATACCGGGTATGTGCACAAATTGGGTGGAATCTCGATATCGTAGGATGGACCATCCGCCTCTCCCTTGACATCTAATACTCGCCATGGTCTCCTATAGGCAGGTAACAGTTTCTGCGAAATCCCCTCTTCCAGAACGAACTCCTTACTTGACCCTGACCAAGTCACCTGCAACTTGCGACGGGCGTAGGTGCTTGTTAGCCTGTTCTATCATCTGATGCTGAGCTTTACAGATGTTCTTCTTGACCTGCTCTACGTCTTTCTCATACTGAACAGCGGATTCTCTCGTACCGGGTGGCGATTTCTGAACCTGGTCAGGGTTCAGGCAGTCAATCGGACGCCTGGGTTGCCAGCCCTTGAGCAGTTCATTCGGTGTGCGTGCTGCGGACAAGTGCGCCGAATTGATGTACTCAGACTGCACTTTGAGGAGGTGCTCGTCCCAATCGATCTGGTTGGACCTAATGTACATGCGGAGCACATGATGGGGCAGCGTATTCATCTGCTCAGTCTGACCATTGGTTTCCTGGTGCCTACCGGATGACATGTTCAGTTTTCACCCATAAAACTTTCATCAGTTGTTGCCAGTGCTCGCCCGTGAATCTACTACCGCCGTCGCTAACTATTGTCAGTGGGTGCCCATAATCCTTAATCCAGTGATTGAAAAATTAATCAGTAACTCGGTCTTTGCCTCGGGGGGCAGCGGAATAAAAACAACAAATTTAGTAAACCTATCTACAACCACCATCACTTGACTCTTCCTGTTTCTGCTTTCAACTTTTGTATCCATGAAGTCGATGGACACGGAGTAACCGGGACCGGACGGGACAGGTAGTGGTCCCGACAATCCAAGCGGGGCCTGCGTGGAACTCTTGTTCCGCTGGCATACTTGGCAACCCTGGAGGTAGGCGATGCAATCATGCTTCATGCCGACCCAGGTGTAGATTAGCATAAATCCTCCTCAAACCGAAATGGCCCTCAGTGTCATGGCATTCCCCTAAGATTAGACTTTTGACAGTCTCGTTATTCGGGACACAGAGCCTGTCAAACCTGTCAGTCTTTTCAAACAACAGTCTGTCAGTCATTCTATAGACTGGGACTTTATGCGGTGCGGACTGTACCCTCTTAATCAGCTCGCTGTAAATGGGATCGTCAATGTACACAGAGTTAATCTGTTGCTGCAGTTCTGTACCTGCATCAAGGTAAGTCACTATGGCACCGAAAAAGTCTGTGTGTCTACTCAGCGCATCAGCGACGACATTGTATTTGGCTTTGACTGGTTTCGGCTCAAAGTCAAACGGGTCTATCTCCCTAGCCCACCTAGTCAACTTGGGTGTCATTTGAAGTGTCTTCCTAGGAGGTAATGTTGCCAATGACTCAAGGCCTACTAGTTTCTGGATATATTATTTTACCCTACATATGACACCCCTTATATGAGGTCATTTCACAACTATTCTCATTTCCACTAATACTCGGTTGTGGAAGCATGTGCGGGCTTCCACGTGGGCGGTTTTGTGCGACCGAGTTGATGACAGGAATGTATTTATTTTAATGGCAGTATTTAAAGTCAGAAATAACTCAAAAAGCGATTAAAATGAACCTAGCCTTCACGATTTTCTTTGACTCTTCGTTTTTGGCGGCTGAATATGTTTGCGAGACCCCGCGTATAAGTGCATTTATGAGCTAGTCGGGTGCCGTGCGGGATTCGTTGTTTTGGGGGTCGCTGAGTGATGTCGCGGGTGGGCTGTTATCTGGAGGCTTGAACCACGGTATGACGATTTGGGATTGTTTTTGGTCACGAGTCGCTTTTGTTCCACGACATTTGTGCCTGACAGCTTGATCATCCTGATGCCGGCTTGCTGTTTTAACTCGACAACATCAGTGCTACTACACCCTTGGTATTGTCACTTTCTGATTTCTACACGGGGTTTCAAGGTTCGGCGTGTCTTGGTAACTGGCCTTGTAAGGCCACTGGTTCCATTTGGGGCATAAGCGGCCATGCTAGGGCCATTTTCTCCTCCAGCAACTTATTATGGGGGCCCAACTGCAGCCAGGTATGAGTCATTACCAGTACTAATTCTGGATTCAGATCCTGTGGGCTGGTACTGTGGGCACCAGGCACGGCTCCATGCTGCTGAAGGCTGCCCAGACCAAGACATGCACTCACTGGTACTAGGACCCAGGGATATACAGGCTGAACCGAGATTTTTTGGGGTCGTTCAGTTTTCAGGCGACCAAAGGGGCCATACTGACCGAGAGGAACACAGCTCACTTCAGAGGCCGCTGGTGTAACCATCTGATGAGCTGCCGTCCATGTATGCTCGTGGGCGGTTGGAAGTGAGGGCGTGGGAGGGAGAGAGAGAGAGATGAAGGAGATGGAACTGGTGAGTGAGGGGAGTCTCTCTCTCTCTCTCTCTCTCTCTCTCTCTCTCTCTCTCTCTCTCTCTCTCTCTCTCTCTCTCTCTCTCTCTCTCTCNAAAAAAAAAAAAAAAAAAAAAAAAAAAGAATTACAACCAGATGTGACTTCCAACCAACCACGACGTCGCTTGCTCACTCGAACATTTTCAGCCACACTGACCACAGAATGCAACAGACACCATCTCCCATACACACAAAACACTGAAGCAGGTGCAAGAGCACATGGCAAAAACTGGACTTTTTCAACAGAGACAAAGACTGAGAATCACGTAGACTCCTGACCACAGAATGCACCAGACTCCATCTCCCATACACAAAACACTTAAGCAGGTGAACGAGCACACGGCAAAAATGGACTAGACAAAGACAGAATCATGTCGACTCCCAGGGGACATATTCAGCAACACGTACCACAGAATGCACCAGACCCTCTCTCTCATCATACATCCTAGGACATATTCAGCAACACGTACCACAGAATGCACCAGAACCTCTCTCATCATACACAAGACACTCAAGCATGTGCACGACCAAACAACCAAAAAGAGCTTGTCAAACAGAGACAAAGAGCGAGTCACGTAGACACTCGTAGGTACACGAGCACACGCGACCAGGTTCAAGGCTCGTTCAGAGACGACGACTCAGTCACATCGTAAGCAACACGTAGCCGAAAAGAATAAGAGCCCAAAACAATATGTTCACACGCACATGTCGAAAATTTCAAGAATTTAGCTGAGCCCCTCCCAGAGGGATAGTGCAAGCTTAAAAATTATTCCCTCGAGTCGCGAACTGCGTAAAAACACACCTCGCGTACTCGTTTCTCGGCAGCAAGATTCTTATTTGAAGGCCGCGCTCCCCATTTGAACGCACCACTCTAATCACCAACCCTTCTTCCTCCTGCCCCCACCATTCAAGAGAGAAAGAGAGACTGCCGCCACCACCAGATTGAAAACCTAAGCCGAAAGCTACCTATGAAGGATTCGCAGAAGAGCAATGATACCGGGCCTTCGTCCAACGAAACGCTCCTGAGGTATCACTTGTCCACTCCTCTGTCACACCTTTACTGCTCTCTCTTTGAGAAAACTCGACTCCGAGAAGTCCAATTTCAACGATCTATTCAATGTGCCAAATAGACACCCGACAGAAGGACCGGAGCGAGGACACATTCTGAACACACCAACTTCTGGAGCGAAATACGAAACGAAATAGGACGAGCGGAAACATTGACGCTATTGTAGCATGCGCAGTCCTTATCCGGAAGCGCTTTCATCATCTATGCTCGTCTTTCAACGATACTCCTCCACGAATAAGACAAACTCAAATCCAACTTCCAGCTCCATCCTAGCAACAAGAAGAAATGAAATAAACAAAGCGGGAAGGGAAAAAAAGCACGATATCCATTCAGCAACCGCCGCGAGAGATTAGTCGCCAATCTTTCGGCCGCATAAACGAACAGTCGTAACGTGCAAAAAAAAGTGAAGGCGGTTGTAAATCGACCGACCGAAGGAATCGACGAACGTTCGCTCGGGCGACAGCAACTTACTTCACATCTCCTGTAGACTAGCCAATCAATCAATCAATAATTTAATCATTCAATCAATCAATTAATTAAGCAGCGGTAATCTTAACGGGCTGTCCGTTCCTGGTGAGCACCTTGACCGTCTCCCAAGTGAAATCAGAGTCGTCGCGGCCGAAGTGTCCGTACGCCGCCGTCTTCTGGAACCTCTGCTTGCCTCCACGGGTCAAATCAAGGGCTTGGATGATCATGCCGGGTCTGAAGTCGAAGTTCTCCTTGATGATATCGAGGATATCTTGGTCGTCTACCCTTCCAGTTCCGTACGTGTCGACGAAGACGGACAGTGGCTCAGCGACACCAATAGCGTAGGAAACCTGCACGAGGCAGCGGCGGGCAAGCCCGGCGGCAACGACGCTCTTCGCCGCCTGACGGACAATGTATGCTCCGCTCCTGTCCACCTTGGTCGGGTCCTTGCCGCTGAAAGCTCCGCCGCCGTGGGCACCCCAGCCTCCGTACGTGTCAATGATGATCTTCCTACCGGTAAGCCCAGCATCTCCGTGCGGCCCACCAATCACGAATCGGCCAGAAGGGTTGAGATGGAAGATAGTGTTCTCGTCGAGGTACTTGGCAGGAACGACGGGCTTGATGACATGCTCTCGAAGATCGGCCGCAATCTGGTCGTTGGAAACGGACTCGTCGTGCTGCGTCGAGATCAAGATGGTGTGCACGCGGATAGGCTCAAGAGCACCCGTCGCATCCTTCTTGTATTCCACAGTCACTTGCGTCTTGCCATCAGGTCGGAGCCACTTGACAGTTCCGTTCTTCCTGACCTCCGTCAGCCTGGCGCCAATCTTGGTAGCAAGAACGTGAGTCAAAGGCATAAACTCTGGAGTCTCATCCGTTGCATAACCGAACATGATACCCTGGTCACCTGCACCGATTTCCTCAGGCCTCTTCGTGCCCATACCATGCACACCTTGGCCAATATCAGGACTCTGCTCCTCGATATGGACCAGTACCTTGCACGTGTCACAGTTCAACCCCACCTCCTCCGCGGTAAAGCCGATACCACGGCATGTATCCCTCACAATCTTCTCATAGTTCACAGTAGCTCTGGTGGTGATCTCGCCGAACACCATGACCATTCCCGTCTTCGTGCAAGTCTCGCATGCCACCTTGCTCTCGGGATCTTGCTCGAGGCAAGCATCCAAGATGGCATCGGACACCTGGTCGCACAGCTTGTCCGGGTGCCCCTCATTGACGGACTCCGAGGTGAACAGGAAGCTCACCATGTTCACCGACTTACTCGTTAAATAGATACTACAAAAAGAAAGCGGGGCGATGGCGCAGCAGTCGGGACAAAGAGAACAAGAGAGAGAGAGGGAGAGAGAGAGAGAGAGAGAGAGAGAGAGAGAGAAAGGCTTCTAGGCGACGAATCCACACAAGTAACAAAAGCTCCGTCGATCGCCCTACCCGCGGCGAAAGGACCTTCACTCCGTATAAAGCAACGACAACAAAACGGAGTCCTTCCGCCGCTAGCGACCGACGTTGAGCCGAGTGGAAGAAGATGTGTCGAGGCGACCACAGCGAGAAGAAATGGAACCGGCGTCGACTTTATAATACCAGATTGTTCGGCCAACATGTGGCAACCAAAGTGTGCTCTCGTCCTGCGGCACTCCCCTCGCATTTCTTTTTCGCCTTACGCCGTCGCGCTCGACGGCCTTCGGCCATCTGCCCCCCTCCTACGGCCGCGATGACGTGTTCCGCCGCGTAGCTCAAGGGGCTGTTCCTGTTCGGTCCGGCCCGCCCCGCCGTTTCCCGCGTGCGCCGCCCCGCCCTTCCGCCCGGACCCGCTTCGCCACGCTGGAAGGGCGCAGCCTTGACTTGATGGATGCCGCAGGGCCTCTCCGCTCCACTTACCAAGTGTGAGGAGAGCGCATCTTTCCACGTTCCAGAGGCAGATACACGCTCCACTTTCCACGGCCTTGTGCTGAGCGGCAACAAGTTAGGGCGAGATCCCACTGGCAAAAACTATTGGAATAAGTGTCTGAATCTGGACGTGTCTTGTGCAGAAGTCCAAAAAACTGTAATTGATCTGCCTTTCTGCATCTCTTACTGGAACACGTCCTGATTCGGACACTTATTCCGATCATCTTTGCCAGTGGGATCTGGCCCTAAAATTGTTTCGTTCTGCTCACGTTAGCTCTAGCGGCGTGGTGCCACTAGCAAAGAGGATCGAATGCCCGAATCTGGACGAGGTTCGGGAGATGTGCAGGAAATCAAGATTGAACTGCTTTTCTGCATCTCTGCATAAAACACATCCAGATTCAGGAGCTCGATCCTATCTTTTTTTTGCTACCGTAGTGGGACCTCGGGCCTGGTTTCGAACTTCGGTCTTCAGTTTACACACGTGCGACCAGGCCCGAAATGTTCTGTTTTTTTTTTTTGTTTTCCTAATATTATATTACCTGTCGAATCTGTCGAAAGAGAAGACACGCCAAGAAAAAAAAGAAACCAAAAAAAACCAACAACAACAAAAAGCGCCTGCCGCGTCTGGTAGCGATTGTTGGCCGAGATCGCGTCGCTCACCAAATGCAAAACACGTCAAAAACCTGTGTTGGACCAGATATATTTCCTGATTTGACTTAAAAGGGTTCCAACAGACAGAATGCATCTGCTCCACCTAGACCATCAGATACATGCCGAATGTTAAGAAGTGACGCGAAGTCCAAGGAAATAGGAAGGCTTCGGTCGCGATTCGGGCGGTACGGTAGTAGGGACAGGAAGGGCATATGGACGCCCAGGCTAGAATGAGCGAATCTCGACGTATTTGAGTTTCTATTCATTGTCCAAAACCCTCATGTGTGTACGCGCCGTCAATGCGGCTCGCGCCAAAACGCGATTTTGGCGTCCCGCCAGATTTCGGATGATTTGATCGTACTACGTACCTTCTTCCCCCGAATACAACGCACGGTCATTATAGCTTATATAGCGTGAGATCCCACTACCCTGGATTATTCATTTTTCACCCTCGATTGCGAAGATCAACGGTCAGAAATGAACAATAGGGGCTTGTGGGATCTGGCCCTTAGACTGAAACATGGCAAAATACAGCTATAATGACCGTGCGTTGCATTCGGGGGACGAAGGTAGCGGCGGCACTCTCGCTGTAATATGCATTTCTTTTCTTGATGGAGACAATACTCACACTGAGACTTTCCCCTGGATGCATCTTACTGAGATTGCGGCTTGTGCGGCGTGCATCTCACGGCAATAGTGTCCCAAGTACAGTCAAAAACGTCGTAATGTGAGTATGCCCTGAGCCTGGCTGCAGGAGCCCAGCAGATACATCCGCGAAAGTCCTATAGGCGTGAGTACGTGGTAAGTTACGATTGATGAATGGCATGCGATGCGAATCCCCGAGATCCAACCGCCCACATGCTATTCTACAGACCAGTCTACATGCCATCTGTGAGTACCTGGCTTCCTCGTATGTGCCAAACAAGTCTGGCGTTTTTTATTTCGTTGCCTCTCCCTTCTCAGGGCCTCGTTGCACTACTCTCCATAGGCCAAGTTTGGGGAGTACGCGCCTGGTTGCACTTAGGGCCTTGCCACACCAATGTCGAAACGGTGAAATTTTCAACAACTGTCAGACCATTTTCAACAATCACCGTTTCGACACAATGGCCGCCTTCGCCACACCGTAGTTTCGTTTTTAGAAAAGGGAAAAAAAAAAAAAATAAGAGAAGAAGAAAAAAACAAAAAAAAAGAAGAAGACGACACGGGATGTTGAGGCATAGATGTCGAAATCCGCACATCCTTCAACACCTCGTCTCCGTGATGTCGAAACTGGACCCGCTGCAGGCGGGCTGTTCGACATCCATGTTGAAACCACCTTTCTGACCATTGTCGAAGATTTTTCGACATTTTTTCTTCGACAGTCTGTGTGGCGAAGAAAAAATGTCGAAAACTCGAGTTTCGACATTGGTGTGGCGAGGCCCTTAATCGCCAAACTTGGAGAATGCAAAATGTGTCAGACGGCTCGCCACACGATCGACACAAATTGTGGAGAGTGAGTTCGGTTTCCCCGCACGGCTGTTTGTGGAGAGTGGTCCTCGGACCTCTCCACAAAACAGCTTTCTGGAGAGTGCAGGGCTTCACGAGTAGACATCAGGTAGACAAAAAAATTTAACTTTTATGGAGAAGAAATATAGTGGCGAGTAAGTGCAACCAGGACTCGAGTTCGATGCGATTCTCAGTTTTTTCCTATGATAAAATTCCGGATATCCGGCAGACCAATTTTATCCGGAATTTTCAATCCAGATGAATTTTCCGGATTAATTCCGGATATGGAAAATCCGGCCCTGCGCAAAATATTTTTTTTACCAAAAAAAAAAATCAAAAAAATCTGGAAAAAACGTATGTTGTTCAGATGAATGATACGAACAACATTTGGCTTGAGGTCATCTTTGATATCTCAACAGATATAAAGATAAAAAATAAAACAGAAGAAGAAAATAATATTAAAATAAAAAATTATAGAATGAATTAAGCACCCCCCCTCTAAACCC